CTTAAAACCACTTTTAATAACCACTTTATGCCATTACTTACCAAACTGCTTGCTGTAGTTATTCATATTTGGAAAAAAAAAAATGAAGATACGGTCCCTGCCCCAAGGAGCCTATAATTAAAACAAGACCAGCATTATAGAAACATATATACTAGCTGGCCTGTAACTGGATGGTCTGTTTAGTTTTGTTTTGACGTACTATATGAAGCAGCATTTAACAGATGTTGGGAAATTAGCTCTCTGAGCTTCTCATATAAACATACACCAGAGATGCATGTGTATGAATTAATTTCATCACTGAATGGGGGTATTAATGTCATCAGGCATTTTTTAATGTTTGTGCCTATTCTACTGCACTGTGAGTCCTCCTTGCCAAAAAACACAGAAACTTCTCGAAAGCTAACTGCTGTAGTAATGCTTTCTAGTGCTGCACTGATGATTCTCTTCTCTTGGGTAACAGACTGCCTTGTACAAGCCCAGAAATGAAAAAATGAACAAAAGTGTCAGTTGTTTCATTACATACCTTTTATAACAGTTTTGACCAAAACAAATCCCTCCCAAACCAAAACAGGAGTGGTCTTTACTGCAGATTGTACTTCTCATTGTAAGTAATGCTAACCTAGCATGCAAATCATGTAGTTGACTTTTTATGGCTGTTCATATCACTGCTGAAATAGCACACATCCAGCAAGGTGACAGATCTTTCCACTCCTCCTCTTATCCAGGAGGAATGCAGTATTAAGAACTAGATTCCCTTTTACAGCTTCCTGGATGAAGTCAAACCAGCATGAAGCAGGGTGCTTAGAAGCTGTGGCTTGCCCCTCTCAAAGCTGTATATAGGCAGGTCAGGCAGAGAATGGATGTGACATTTGAACAAAGCCTCAAATAGAATAGAAGTGTAGTTAACAAAATGACAGAGATTCCCTAATTTCCACTTGTATTTAATGTATTTTGATTTCATATCTATATTACTATTTTGTGGCCTCTTAGTTTAGTTTTCACGCATTAAATAGTCTTGAGTGCTTCTAAAGCAACAGCTTTGGTTCTAAAAGAACATTCCACCTCCCCAGTCCCCCTCAAATTACAGCAGACATGCAATGTTAATTTAGGATGAGTGGGCACAGATGTTATCAAAATCATGCTCTTACCTGCCAACTCCACCAAATTTTCCAGTGCTTGGATACTTTCTTCCACTGTTGTGTGGAATTTCTTATTGTAATATTCTCTGTGCTTTTTCTGGGGTTTTTTGGTTTTTGTTTGGCTTTTTGTTGTTTTTGTTGTTTTTTCCTCAGATGTCTTATCCAGTTACCAAACCTGCATATGGCCTCCTCCTCTGATCAGTTGAGCTAAAACAATACTTCATGATAACCACAGAAAAGAAAAACAGCCTCTTAAGGATATTGATGTAATTAAGGTGACAGGCCACGGACTTGTGCTGAGTGCTTGAAGAGCACTTTATAACCACAGCAAATCAGTAAGTTTGGGATAGGCGGCATGGCAGAGGAGAAGTGATGTGGTTGGAAATATGATTTGGGTAAGCACTAAAAAGAGAGGGAAGAGGAAAAGCAGATTTAAAACTGGATTTTCATTATCCAGTGTTACCAATGTGTGAGTTAACTAGTTTACTAGTCAGCTTTTCTTTGCTGACTGTATGAATTCTCTGTACCACTTCTTTACTTCAATAATGTGCTGCTAACACATGTCTGTACAGCACAACGTGTGCAGATGTAAGTTTTCTCAGTGCCTCAGGCCTCTGAAAAACTATAGTGGCACAGCAGTAAATCTGAACTAATGCACCCTGTCTCTCAGCAAGGACTAATAGCTCAGGATCAGCTTCATGCTAACAGCTTATGAGCTGCCTGGAATGGAGGCAAAGTGAGTTTTCTCTTCCCACAACGTACTTTGTAGAGCTATCCATATTGGGTCTCATCTGGAAAAAGCATTAAAAGGTTTCTTAATACTCAATTTTGTGTTTCATTGGTATATGGCAAAGTGGTTTGCAGAGGAGGCAAGCATCACTGCCATTACCCAAATGGCAATCTGAACTATATTCCAGAACACACTGTGTCTCTAACTGACAGTTGCAGGATTGTTCAGATCCTACACTAATATTCACTCACATAATTCTTCATATTAAATCCTGTGTTTATCAATAGATGACCACAATGGCCAAATCAGACAGACTGTGGTGCATTCTACACATGACTTTTTTTTCTAGTTTAATGCCTGCAAAATCAAAGCAGAAATTTGTCAACCTCTTGTGACAATGTGCAGAATTATAATCTCTGTAAACTGGAGTAAGTAATAACAGTGCCTCTATAAAACCATGCACTGAAAGAAAAAGCTTCTAAGGATAATTTCCTTCAAGTATGTTTTGGTTACAAATTACTTAATGTTCCCATTAGCTTTAAGAAGCTGACTGTATGCAGCTGACACAGTGTTCTACATTCTTCTAGCTCCCTTTGTTGCTTAACTTTATTTTCCAAAATCACCATAAAACATTAATGGCATTTCCTAGCCCAGAATTCAGGCCTGATTTAACTTGATTGGCTTTTGTGCCAATTTTCAGAGACTCATTTGGATTTAAACATTTCGTGGTCTTTTACATATGTAGCGGTAATTGTGCTATTTAGAAAAATGTGGTGCCATCATGTGGACAATATAAGAACTGTAAAAAACAGTTTTAAAAAACAGATGAATGTCTGTATTTGATATTATAAATCAGCTGTATTATAAATATCAGTTATATGGTATAAGAAGCTATGCACAGATCTGTGGGTTTAAAACTGTATTAGGTAAGAAAAACAGATAATGGGATGAGGAACTGCTAATTCTATTTTCTTTATTTTCCAACAGCTTGGGAAGTTCTTTCCCATGAGCGCAGACTGATCAAATCATGCACATAAGTCTCCAAGCCATTTTAATCAGCACCAAATTCCAACATTACCTACTCCTGTATCTATCTCGTTTTCCTCTAAGAGTTTACAAAACTTGGTTTTGTACAGCCCACATTGCTTCTGTTCTGCTTAAATGCTTCCACAATCACACAACAGCTCCTATCCATGGAGAAGGCACTCTGCCCACACAGCTCTCATTCCTTCATGAGTTCACACGAAACTTTGTTTCAGCCATGGTTTTGGTTTAAGGCCTCTTCTTGTTTCTTGTATTTAACTGAAAGAGACTTTGCCAGATTTGAAATAGCTATCCCCAAGACCAATAAATGCCCACAACAGTCAAATTGGCTGCATGAGTGCACTGCAGTGTTTCTAAAGTTTTTCTAGTTTAATACCTACAAAACCAAGCAGAATGTGAAAACATGCAGAATTTTAATCCCTGTAAATTGGAGTAGTAACAGTGTCTCTATAAAAACATGCATAATTAGTTACACGTCAGGTTTCATATATTTACACAGAAAGTGAAAGATAAAAGTTCCCAAAGATAATTTCCTCAATAATACCCCACATATAACAGACCTGTGGAGGTTTGCACACGAGGATTGTGATTGGAAACCTGTCTTCTGTGATACACTCCCCCAAAGCAAACCTGCACGTCCTGCTCTAAGACCCTCTATGCCAAGTGCTAGTTAGCCAGTCCCACAGTCTGCTGATTTACTTTATACTGAACAAAGCCAAGAGCTTTTAAAGCCTTGTCAGTGGGTTTGAAATAGCCTACCTGGGAATAAAGCTTTGAGACATGTTTGGACCAGTCCCTTCTTTTGTGAAAGTTTAGTGGTTTTGTGTTGGTAAAACTTACAGGTTTATTTGATCTTTATGAACATGGACGGCTTTTTGAATCCGTTTTGAGATTTAAGTAGTATTTTACTCAGAAATTCACTTCCTTTGTGCTGAAAGAGCCCACTCTTGTGGTATAGTAAGAAATGGAATATGTATGCATGTGGCTTTACTAAATGGATATAATGGAATGTCATGCATTAAGTTTCTCTGTGATGCTGTTTCAGCTTCTATATAAAGGCAGGTAACTATGAAGTAATGACATCTGTTTTCCATGTCTTTGCATCTCATGCTTGGTTGATTTTCTCGTTTAAAAAAAAACAAAACATGAGTTACAGCTGCAAATTACCATTATTGGGCCATTTTTTTCCTGTGGATTCTCCAGTGTCTAATTAGATATGAACACAGATTGCAATCTTTTTCTGACTGGATAAATTTACAATCTCTCTTATTCTTTTAATAATTTAATTTAACAATAAATAAATTTACAGTCTCATTCTTTTTCTGCTTTAGCATATATTTTCCTGAGACTTATTGGGGCTTAATTTTAACAATTTTACCTTGCTATCAAACTTGGTAGAAGTGATTATGAATTGAAAAATTCTGTGGGTGGGAGGCAAATGGAAAATGGTGGTGGTTGGAAAAACCTGACGGAAGTCTCTAGTCTGTATCACTGTGCTCAAGTTTTTGATCAGTTGGCATTTAAATGCTTAGAATACATGGCCAAACATAAATCAATTTATACACTTTTAAAGTTCATTTCCATAAATTGGAAGCCAATCTTGAGATAGAGACAGCTCATTTGTGATTTTTTAATAATTCACAACATTGTGCTAGGCAGAGTGTGGAACAAGCTCAACAACCAACTTTCTTTCAGATGAACTTTAAATGTCAAAGTATCCAGTGACTGTTCATGAGTTTGGTTTTCAGTGTTCTGGAAACTGTACACTCATTTTAAAAAGAGTGACACTGGTTTGGGTTTGGAAGAATTGGTTAAATACCCTCTGAAAGCCAGTAATTTAGTGAAAATGTATTAGATTTCCTTAATTTTGACATTTTTGTGAAAATGGGAAAAAGGAACCCTTCCTGGTTCATGAATTTTTAACATGGTGCATGATTCATAAAACTGTTAGTTTTTGCACACTGCATAACCATGACGAGATTGTGCAATATTACTTATGGTAGACTTTCATTTCCATTTTTAAAACAAGCATCTCTAGAATCTGAACAGAAAAGCCAAGAGTCAGAATCTCGCTGACCTCTGTTGGCTGTAGGCTAGGTTTTTTTTATTCTGTCTCTTCACAAGACTCATTCTTTCTGATCCACCCTGGTGGACGGTTGCGCCTATCAATCATTGTACTATCCTCATCAGTGGGATCTCCTGTAATTATTTCCCAGTAATTCTTATCTTCTTCAGCTTTATGGGTGTCCAGAAAAGTGTGACAAATTACTTCATACTCTCTTCCAAAATAAGACCTGCAAAGTCAAAGAAAAATGGGGACAGGTAGGGACAATGAATACATATACAAATTCAGCAGATTTGCATTATCTGTAAATTGTTCAAGGTTTGCTCAATTTTTTTTGGCTTATTCATAAATATCACCATCCAATTTTAAGTATCAGACCCTTACAAGAAATGCAATAACCCACTTGCTTTCCTACAAATAATTTAGGAATTTGAAGTCAGGAGGAAATGACACTTTTCTAGCTTCAAAGCTAAAGCAGCCCCATCAGTGTAAGACTCTGGTACACTGACTCAGTACGTATAAGCTGGTTAAGTTACGATCACCATTTCTCTCTGACTGAGGAAAACTGGCTACTTAACAGCTGTTTCAGCCTCAAAGTTTCAGGTTTTATTTCATCTTCAAAAACCTGATACAGATACTCAGTCACCTATTGCTCTGAATTTAATAGGAAACAATTGCTATACTCTTTTACAATGCTTAATTAAAATAAAATAAAATAAGAGAAACAAGAATATGCATTCTGCATTCTTTTCCATTTCATCAACGTATTCCTAAAGTACCTGTCTTTCTTCTTAGAGTAATTCTTGATGTTGGCACATTCTTATGGCCATCCCTGCCAGTTATAAATTATGCTTACCTTGTCCAAAAGTTCCTTGGAACAGCCAAGCTGCGATTAGTTTGGCAATGGGTAATAATAATTTTGGAGTTTGCCTGGAAAAGAAAAAAACAAAACCAAGGGAAGACACTTGACAGAATTTTTTATACTGATTTTAACTGTTCTTACTCAAATCAAATGCTTTTATTTACTGTTTAGTGTAAGCTGCATCACTCAAGAGTACTGTATATTTATAGTGAGATATTTTATACCCTATCAGTTCTCAACACAACTGGAGTTCTTAAGCCCTCCCTCCTGCTAAGCACTTAAAAACACAACTGGAGTTCTCAACCACTCCCTTCTGCTGGGCACTTAAAAAGTAAAATGTCAAGGAAGTATTAGAGAGTCATTCCAGTGGCCTCTGCCATCAGGGTGATTCTTCTTACAGTTGATATCTGGCATATGAAAGATCCAGATGGTTTGGGGATGCAGCCTAGAAAGTGACCTTTCTATTTTACTAATTTGCAAATTTTTTTTAATATGTAACAGAACTGATTTTAGTCATTTTCTCTTACCAATACTGTAAATAAAGAATGTTGTCTTTGACAGTTACATAATTTTGACTGTATTAGTCAAATACTAGTGAGCCGAGTCATGTAAATGAGTCACTGTTCAAGGCTGTAGGGGAACAGTTATATTTGTGGTATTTTGCCATACTGCAACACTTCAGGAAGACCAACAGGTAAGTAGAGCAGAAAAATACTCCATCTGCTTAACTTATTTACAAAGGCTTAAAACCCATATTTAGAAAGGCACTTATCCAGGTGCTTTGAGGGGGTTTTCATACTTTTTAAATTTAATCTGCATGAGTTCTTAATTGATCAGAGCTCCTAATACTGGAAGTGGAATTTATTGCTCAGAAGTGCTGAAAAGCAGATTGCAAGTACTGCATTCTCCCAACTTGATAATGTCAACCCTTAAAAAATTCTGATGAGAAAAACTGAGCAAATCAGCCTCAAAATAAACACCAGAACCTCATAGTTGTATATGCAGATTCCCCGGTTAAAGAGATTGTTCTTTCCCTCTCCCCCTTCCTAATATTACAGATCAGAACTTACATAAAGAAAACACATGAATAAAACTGAAAAGAGGGTAAATTTGGATTAGATATTAGGAAGAAGTTCTTTACTGTGAGGGTGGTGAGGTGCTGGGTCGAGAGAAGCTGTGGCTGCCCCATTCCTGGCAGTGTTCAAGGCCAGGTTCGAAGGCGCTTGGAGCAACCTGGTCTAGTGGAAGGTGCCTCTGCCCATGGCAGGGAGTTGGAAATGAGCTTTAAGGTCCCTTCTTACCCAAACCATTCTATGAAAATACACACAACTTGTTTATAAGTACTCTATCTACTGTTTCAGTTAAATCTTCACAATGTTTCTACAGTTTTAATTTCTTACAGGAACTGGAAACCCTTCATGTTCAAGACGCAGCTGTGGATCCAAGAAGGCAGCTTGCCAGTGGGTCAAATAGGAAAGCTCATCTGTCAAAAATACTGGCTGAAGGTAAGATTTTTTAGCAAATCTTACAAATGATTTATGGTCACTTGCTAGATACATCTGTAAATAAAAATATACAGTAAGGACAGTATCAATATAAAAGAAACAGGTCTGTAATTTACGAAAATATTTTTCAACTTATTATTTTGTTTTGACTCCTGAAAAATCAGTTTGCCAAGCTAAAGATATACATGAAAAGCCCATAACATAGATCCTCTGCTGTTGATAAGCTAATTAAGTAGCTATTCTGTATGCAGACTGGTGAATAATTGAATTTACATTCCAAAGATTCTCTCTCACCAAAGTGGTTGCTCAGAGGAAAATTTTTTAAAGTTTATTTTGGGTGCACTTGTAACCCATAATGTCTTATTTGCTTCTAACTTGCTGAGGGGAACATGTTGACAATATGAATGATTAATAGAAATCTACTCCCTCAAAATGGTGGAATATATTATATATGTCACCTCATATACCTGCTATAGATTTGTCTTTACAAGGAATGAAATCTCATTTTAGAATTATTTAAAGCAAAAAATAAAAGTCAAAATCTCCCTCTAATGATGAATTTCTTCATGATTCACAAGCTAATTTTAATTTTCTTTCTTTTCTTTTTTAAAAACTCCTTCATCCACACATTCTGTCTGACAGCCCCCTTGGCCTGCACACCTGATCTCAGGCAAGTTGCATACACTTTCTAAGTAGGTATTGCTTATCTTGATCTATTTATGATTCCAAATCTGTTCTGTAAAGCTAAGATGCTGAACCACTGTACAGTTTCATAGTAATTAAATGCACACTACCAGTATATGCTACCATTACCATTAGCAGCTTTATTGTCTTACCATTTGGCTAGAAAACCCTCCTGTTGTCCCAAGACCAAAGGCTTGCCCATATTTAATTGGTTCACCCAGTGCACTTCCATCTACACTGTTAAAATTGTAAAAAGGAAGAAAGAAATTATTTAAAAACTCAGCTTTACCTTTTTTTTTTTTTAATAAATTTTGCTCTACAGTTAGGTCTTGTGGCAACCTTTTGTATGAAGTTTACCTTTAAAAATAGGCAAAATATCTTAACTCAAAAGACATTTCATACATGATTTACTGGTTAAAATATTTAACAGAATAGAAAGAGACTGTATTGATCCCTTTTTATGATATATCCATTAACATACAGGGTGGAGAGATAACAACCAATGAAAAACCAATAGGAATTCAGCACTGAGGCCCCTTTTAAAATATACTTAATATGAGCATCTGAAGAATCACATACTAAAAGCAAAACAGCATGTGTTTATGTTTCTATGTAACTTAACAGAAGTTGCTAATAATGTATGTAACTGATATTGGGTAACTTGGTTCATTATATCAGCATGCATGCTGGTATATCCCTATTTCCAGAATAATCTCTGCTTTTCACAGAAACATTAAGTGCTAAAGTCACTAAGTATTTTCAGCAACAGCTGATAAACTTTTTAATGAGGGACTCAATAGCATTCAGTCAGCAGCTAAGCAAAAACATTTTGGTTGCAGTTCTAGAAGGCCTAAATTATGCTCTTAGTGTCAAAATTCTTTCTTGGGTCTAACCCAAAGTGTTTTGCTCAATGAGGATTATATGGGTTAGTTTGTACTCTTACGTGCTATTGTTAAATGCATGCATTCAGGCAGAACTTTCGACTGCTGAGCAGTACCCTGTTCTTCTGTTTCTTCTCCCACAAACAGCTGGAATTAAATATGTCTTTGAGAGAGGGAATATGCTGTTTGGTTAATGGTTTTTTTTTTAGGGAAACATTGTCCATGTACAGAAAAAGCATCAACACAAATTTTCACTTCAGAGACCTTAGTTGATTCTAAGTCATATTTGGACACGTTTTGTATTCTACAGCTGAAATATGACCACCTTCAAAACAGATGCAGAGTTTACCAAATGATACCATGAACTGCATTCTGGTTTCACACCATTTCTAAGCTGGTTTAAATTTTCTTGGGATTATTCACATAGGTGGAACAGAATCAAGAGTAATGCAAAACCCAAGTTAAAGTCTCTGAAATAAATTAATCTCCCTCAAATTAATTTGTATATTAGCAAACTTCATTGCATCTTTCTCAAAACAAGGTACTGAAAGCTAAAGTAGTCATTGAAAACAACAAATAAAGTTCCAAACCTTAAAATACAGAAAGTATTTCTACCCACGGGGGCCACACTCTTGATTGCACTAACTCCATGAAGGGTTTGCAATGGTAGAGGTGAAAATATGGACAGTTCATCCAGATTAATTGCCAAGGTCAGAGTGCCGCACACGCCGCAGGGATTCTCCACTGAGGGTTTGTCGTCACTATTCAAAAGCATCACTGTATCTCCAAAATGAACAAATCCATCCTTAGACACCGACAGGTGTATCTGAATAGAAATATACATAACTTTTTACAGAATTATCTGAAGCTAATATCAGAAGTATTTCAGCATTCAAAATGTTAATCCATAGCATCATTAATGCATAAAGAATACTAATAACAGCTACTCCAATCTATGGGGAGTCATTGAGGATTGACATAATCATCTTAAAAAAAATTACCTTCCTTAAAAGGTTATCTTGAAGTCTGTTTATTCTCTGTGTTAGAAGTTCTCCTCGTTCTCTTTTATGCAGAAAATCCCTCAAGAGGTCCTGGCAGAGAGAGGGGGGGGGGGGGGTAGATATGTTATCCAGCACTCACAACCTCAGGTTTAAACTGAACTGAAGGAATCTGAGGAGACGCCGAGAGATGAAGAGTCTGTCGAGGGGAGAGGGGCCCAGCTGCACCTCACCTCCCCCAAACAGGAGTCCTCGTTCCAGTTGCCGATGAGCACCCCGGGTCTGTAGGTAGCCATGCTGCCGCCTCGCCCGTGCGGCGTCCTCCGTCGTCATGACGATCGCTATAGCTACCGATTGGGCCATGGAGCGGCAGAGCCAGCCAATGAGCGGGAAGGAGGGGTCTGGCCCAAGAACAGTGCGGGAGGGGTGGGTGTTCTGGGGGGATCCTCAGCGAAAAGGAAGGCGATAAAATAAATCCATAAATGTTAAAAACGGGCAGGAATGACGATTGTCCTCCTCGGACATGCCCGGCTGGGCTGAGGGGCACTGCCGACGGCACACGCAGACCACAACAAGCCTGCCCTGCAGTTTGTACACTCCAGAGTATTCATTGTTCCTCTGTAGCTCACCTGTAGGACAGTAAATTATTCAAGATTGTAGCTTAAGTCCCTTGTGGTTTAAACCACGTTTATTTGGGGGGCGATGGCCTTCCCCGGATGAGCGTGCTTCATGCTGTAGCCAGAGGTGTGTGTATCTGAACAGTAAATTCTGTGAGCCAAGTGGGAGAAGCTCTTCAGCCCCTGACAGCAAAGTGCTGGAGAAAATGCTCAGGCAAGGGAAGATGTAATTATTCCTTAAACGGAGTAGAGGTAGCTATTCTTTGAATGGAATACAGGTGGTTATTGCTTGAATGGAGTAAAGTTAGTAATTCTTTAAGCAATCTGCTGTAGTGGAAGGTGTCTCTGTCCATGGTGGGGGGCTGGAACTAAATGAGCTTTCCCTTCCAACCAAAAGTATTCCATGATTCTCTCACATTTATGCCCTCTTAGGAGTACCTGCCCAACCAAGATGTAGCAGGGAAAGGCCTCTGCAAGTAAAATAATACTAATAACTAAATACTAATATGCTGAGGGTGGCGATGCAGCTGGGCCCAAAGCAATTTGTCCATCTCTTCATGCTGTTTGAGGGGTTGCCGAGATGCTGCCTGAGCCTTTTCAGGCACCCTAATACGTGAAATTGCTTCTGTCCAGGTCCAGTTATGTGGTGATATAGTTGCACAAATACCAGTGGAGATGCTGAAGTTCTAGAATTCAAGCCAAGGTACAGTTTTAGTATGGGACTTTATTTCCAGTCAGGTGGCCTTTTACACTCTGTGTTTGTCAAGGAGGTGTATCAGCTCAACGCAACAAATGAGTTCATGACAGTAACACTACAGTATCAGTGAATATTGTGCTTCATAGAATAGTTGGGATTAGAAAGGAAAGCTCACCTAGTTCCAACCCCCTGTCACAGGCAGACACACCTTTTACTAGACCACGTTCTAAAAAGTAAAAAACCCAGCCTTTGAACACTTCCAGCGATGGGGTGTCTGCTACCTCTCTGGGAAACTTCATCCAGTGTTTTATCACCCTCAATGTAAAAAAAATTCCTTCTTTCTGTCTAGTCTGAGTGAATGTATTAGGTGAATGTTTTGATTACAAACATTTTGCTTCATTATTATTTCAGTTTTGGTCCTACTAGGGCAAGGCAGACTAAGTGAATGTGTTATCTGTTTACTTTCCAGATAGTTTAAGCCAATGATTTTCGATGATGTCATAGATCCACGCACAGGACATTTAATCCCTTTACAACTGTCATGGTTTTCTTGCAAGCCTGCTATCTAAGGTTTCAATGCTAGGCAATTTAAAAAGCTTAAAATAAAGTGGGATTTTTTTTCTAGACAGGTGGCCTGCGTGTTATCATCGGTTACTTAGGCAACAATTCACATGAAACCTGGCTCTTTTGTATTTGTTTCTTTTTAAACCAAAACTTAGTACACAAAATGTTATTCAGCACATCCGAAACCTCCTTAGGGCCAAATACAACTCATTTCTTTTCAAATATCACCACCTCGTGGTCAGTTCTGGTAAGGGACGCTTTCCTATACAGCCGTGGTAGGAGCAATACTGGAGTTGTTTAATTGAAATAAGGAAGAAACTTTGTTCATTTTAACTTAACATAAAAAGCCAAACAATTCTTGGAGGTATCAGATGTGATTTGAAATCTGAATTGTTTGAAGAAAAACTATATTTATTCATTTCCTGTGTTGCTAGTAATTTCTGCTTAGCACTTAAGATTACGTTCATGCTCTTCACAGAGCTAAGGTTTTGATTAGGATGACTGTTTAACCTAACTGATATGGAAATTATAAAGCTGATTTATCACACTTTTTTCAAAACTGCGTAATATAATTTACCTTTATTAACTATTGCATATCTCAATGTGCAATGTCTAAGTAGTTTCAAATCTCTTGATTTTTTTTTTTTTTTTTTTTTTTTTTTTTTCAAAATTAAGCCACTTTTAAATCAATATTCAGTTCTGGTGTCCTTAAAACGGACATAGAACTGCTGGAACAAGTCCAGAGGAGGGCCACAAGAATGATCAGGGGACTGGAGCACCTCCTATATGAAGATAGGCTGAGAAAGTTGGGGCTGTTCAGCCTGGAGAAGAGAAGGCTGCGTGAAGACCTCAGAGCAGCCTTCCAGTATCTGAAGGGGGCATATAGGGATGCTGGGGATGGACTCTTCACTAGGGACTGTAGTGATAGGACAAGGGGTAATGGGTTAAAACTTAAACAGGGGAAGTTTAGATTGGATATAAGGAGGAAATTCTTTCCTGTTAGGGTGGTGAGGCACTGGAATGGGTTGCCCGGAGAGGTTGTGAATGCTTCGTCCCTGGAAGTGTTCAAGGTCAGGTTGAACAAGGCCTTGGGTGATATGGTTTAAAGCAAGGTGTCCCTGCCCATGGCAGGGGGGTTGGAACTTGATGATCTTAAGGTCCTTTCCAACCCTAACTATTCTATGATTCTATGAATATGTATTTTTCTGAAACTATGGATTATACTAAGCCGTATAATTAAGAAAAGCGCACTCTGTCTCACTGTGCATGGAGCTGATATATAAAAACCACAGAAGACTTCTGTAGTTTTGTAGACTTATACAACATCCGTACCTAGTTGCTCATAGATTCCGATGCAAATATTATAAAGAAACAGGTATCTGCACTTATGATGTAATTGTGTGGAGAAATATCTTCAAACATCTCTTAGCAGGATTACACCATGACTGTCCTTGTCACCTGGAAGGCTTTAATTTTTGATTGCATAGTATTCCATGAAAACAATCAAAAAGAGCTCCTTCTAAACATGTTTGTAAACTAAGCATCTTTCATGCAGGAGAGGTTACAGGCCTATTCAACCCAGCCCAGTTTCCTTTTGAGCAGATAAAAATCTATGTTTACTCCTAACAGTTGTTTGCATTATTAAATGGTGTGAAGAAAAGCTGTACTTGTGAAAGAACTGGTCTGTGTTCTGTGTGTTAACTTAGCCAGCGCACAAATTGACCAGACTTAAAGTTACATGTGCTTTATTTGAAACATTAGTATTTTCCTGGTACTTTTCTGCTACATACAATTATAGTCAGTGTACTTTCAGAACCTCCTCCCCTACTGTTCTAGAATTAAAGTTTTTTCTCCTTTTTTTTTTCATTTTGTAATGAAAAAGAACTAAATGATTGAGAAGATCAAAAAATAGCAGAGAGAGCTGGACTGGATAGTCTTTTAATTGCCTTAAAATTGTCAGTAATGTGTGAGAGTTTTAAATACTTTAATATATAAATGAATTGGTATGTATCAGTAGTACAAATTACCATAGTTCACCCAAATCTGGCAAAAAGGGCAAGGTCTGAGTGGATGTGAACATAAATTAAGTCCAAGAAAGAGGTATGCCATCTTTATTTAGACATAGTGGTAGAGCATTATATTTTTCTGTGAGCTCTTTCATGCATGTATCTTCTTATTTCATGGTGAAAAACATTTTTACTCACGTGACTGGTTTTTGGCAATTTATGAAATTTTATTCATATGGCAAAAAATACTACACCAATGTTTAATCATACACAGGTTGAATGAGAGCATTGTTAATAGCTGCCTTTACTGCCCTGGGAGAATATCTCGGGTTTTTTCCCAAGCTTTCTTTTGTTCTTCCTGTTGAAAATTATGAATGTGCCAAATTTGATTAACAATACAGACTAAATAATGCTGCACAGGATTAAAACATGTTCTTCAGAACAATTTGTCTCCATTCATTTTATTATTTCACACTAGCATTATTCGGACATGTGCCATGAATCAAAGCATAGTTATATTTTTTCTTTGATGTTATTAGGTTTCTGGCTATTAAAATGATTAATCTCCTTGTTAATAATATAACTACAGTTTCTTATTCTAAACGATTCCCCAAACAGTCACGTGTTTGTGTTCACAGCACAAAATGAATTAAGTAGTTTATGTGACAAGATTTAAGGATTGTTGTTTTGCCAGACACCTGTACTGGTGTTTCCCATTTTGGCTAAGAATTTCACCCTGGAGTTTTCCTGTAATGCTGGCTGCTGAGGAGCAATAAGCCTATTCATGGTATAATTTCTGAAAGGTAGTAATCCATTAAACAAACCTTTCAGTCTACGTTTAACAAGAAAGGGCAGCAGGATGTTTCTGTGTTGTATTGGCAGTAAGTTTGCTGATGAAACTTTCCACAAGTGGAAAGTTTCCTGATATCAGATCTTTTTGCAGCCATGTGAAACCGCTATGGTTGCTCATTTGGTATTTTGTAACCAAAAGATTCTGCTTGAGAAACAGGGAAGGAGGAGGAATCATTTGCAATGCACCTAAGACTCCCAAATGCTTGGCAGTTAAAGTTTGGATTGTGTGATCCACATCTCCATGGTATTTTCATTCTACTGGTCTCTAATTTAGACTTGTACAGAGCATGCCTTTCAAGAAATTGTTGTATAATGGAATATTTTCCCTTCAAATGGAGCTGTTTCATCATGACTGATCACTCTAGCTGTTTGAAGATTTTCTCCTCTGCCTGGCTGAATCTTATTTAGGAGCCAGGCTTGAAAAACTGCTAGAGCTCTAAATCTATCAGAAAATATGTCATTTCAGGAGCAGTCACTAATGAAAAGTATATCAAAATATTAAATATAATACTCTATGTTGCAAAGAGATTCATGCTAACTCTGAAGAAGCTAGAATACTTTCATTGGCAAGAAATAGCTCAGCTGAGAGTTATGGTGTTTATTAGCAG